GCCACAATCATTTTAATTAAGCTACGTGTAGTCGGGAACCAAACATAAAGTTCAAATGTATCAACATGTCTGATAGTCAGCCTTCACAAATCTTTTTAAAGTTATAAAACTGTTACAGAGACAGCACTCTGTCTAAAACTGCTCTCCACAGCAGGCAGTTCAGTTTAGTCTGCTTGATGTGTGTTTTCCTACACAACTCACAGTGCACTTTACCGGCAGAATGCACTTTATGCTATGTTTTCATTTCAATCTATGCAAACCAATTCTAGCCATCTAGAGTGAAAAAAATCCTGACTCATCTTGAAAATAAATCAGCTGAGTCACACTAAGTGGTTCATTGTTTACATCTGTAAAACATAAACATTGTTTTACGATTGTTGCAGCAGAAACAAAGCAGGCTCTAATCCAAACTCAAATGTGAGATATGTTCTGCCTTTATCCTATCAAATACACTCGAAAACACTCACAGTGACTAACAGACTGCAAGTACAACATAATACATGGCAAAAATGTAACCATGTCAGGTGGAGGGGGGGCTGTGATCCGTTTGGTGGGTTTCCTTACCACAATGGAATCGTTTATACTTGGAGCTGCAGAAGATTGCTGTCATTATCAAGACCTGACCTGATTTGATTCATATCTCATTAATCTGCCCCTCCTTCTTTCTGTGTCTCCCTGCCATACATGCTGACCTTACTCTGTCAGCAGCGTCTCACACTTCAAATTTTCTCTCCCACCTCTCCCCCTCCGTGCAGTGCTGTGTGAGAGCCAAACCTTCTGGCAGGCACTCCGTACTGAAAAGTTCATAATCAGCAGGCACTCAAGCATTAACAGAGTGGAGACAGACTCAAGCGATTCCACTCTCAGTATCTCCACCTTTCAAATGAAGCCATAGATGTGTTTGTGACAGCTGAGGGAAGGAAATGCTTGCTGACCATGGAAAAAGAGAAGAAAGTGACTCAAAGCTTCTTTCCAAGCACTGGCGTCACCAGACCTATTTTTAGGGTTTTGGGCCCCATTTGAATTTCTTGTGGCCCTGCTGAATAATTCAATCCCTTTCAACTGATTTATAATGCAAAAATATTACACAAACCCAAGAATTAGACTACTTAGGATAAGCTCCAACACTATGAGCTAGTGGAAACTGTTGTGCAGCACAATGTGTGCGCTAAGAAGATTTGAAATATATACAGCATATATTGTCATGACTTGCTGAATAGCTGTGCTCCACATGTGAGATTGTGGTCTGCCGACAGTGTTTTATAGGATTAACCCGTTATAAATATGCATATTTTTTCAGTTATGTACCTTGATGTACAAGATAGAGAATACAAAAAAAATACTTGTCATTAGGATTGCAGCATGAGGAATAGCCCAGCTGGTTATTATTGACACTGACAATGCAGAACAAAAAGACAACCGCAAATACAGATTATTAAGGAAAGCAACTAAAATATTACTCAGAGTGGAGTCCTTGAGTATCAGAGACACTCTCATTACCAAGGCAGCTGTTGTATTTATGTGCACATATTGATTTGTTGTGTCATTTGAAAGATGAGTGGCTCAACTCTACTGCTTTCCCAACAGTTATCTTAAAGGGCCTGATGGCAGGGCCTTAAGGACACTTTGTGGGAAAGAAAATAACAACTGGTTGGCTGATGTAACTACATATGTGCACATTACCTGAGGGATGTGGTGAGGGTTATTTTCTAATAATCACTTCTAAAGGCCTCTTTTTCATTTGCAGCAGCCAATGCTGTATTATGAGTATTATGGAAAAAAAGAATGTGAACAAAACCATTGTCACATTTTGCCAACTGTTGGACAACAGTATTATCTTCGAACGAGCAGAGGGATGTAATTGTGCCTTATCCTCAGAATTGGCTAAGTATAAAAAGTATGTTATAAAAGAGCTTTCAATCATGAATGTGAATCAAAATTCATTTAAGACTATTTTTAGCCTCTATCAAGACATCTTGACATGGGATCTTGATATTGATATAAGTCATATTTTAGAGCAATAGTTAAATCATAGAATTTAAACATGCCCTGCTCCAAAGCTCATTTGGCTGGAAGGGTATTAATTCAAATATCAAATTGAGTATTGTTTGCAGATTTAATATTTGAAAATCAGATTCAAATCAGACAAATTAAAAAATGAAACAAACAAAGAGGACAAATAAGCACACAATGCTTTTGTTTTTCTTTTGGTTTATATTTTATAACCTCCCCACATTACATCTCAGATGTTCAAGCACGGCCTTTAACATTCTTAGAAACACAGTCTCAGAAAACTAAGTACATTTAGCTTGGATGTTGTAAATCGACAGAATCAATCAACTTTTGAAATCTAAAATTATTGGACTTTTTAAACTTCTTTTTTTTATTTACTGAACTGTCAACCATGATAGATTAATGAACAAATATTTTTGTATGTTTAGATCAGATATGAACTGCTTCCTGTTAATATTCCAGAAATGAATTCAGAGTTGTTGTAGAGCTTGCTTGTCATTTGCCAGCTGTCATATAAATTTGGGTCACGCTTTACTTTTCTCACTTTACACTTCATAATCTTTCTCAACAGTTGAAAAGCCTTCTTTTTAATGTGTTTCTCATAATCTCCTTTCATCTAACGCCTCGCCAGCACAATGTAAATCCTGTTTTGTTTGCTTGAATTCCTTTCTGTTATTATTCGTCCTTTTTCAAGGTTTGATTTGTTAAACGTGTGGGATGAGATACAAAGATCGAAGGAGAGCTTTTCTGAGAGCCTAACATGAGCTTGTGTTCTTGTAGGTTGTGAAACTTACTGAATTTGGCAGTGAGAAACATTGTCGAATCAATAATAGCTATGTGCCTTCAATATTCCCGTCATCCATCCATCCATGGATGGATGGATGACGGGAATATTCTAATAGATTGATCGATAGATGGGTGGATTGGAAAAATTATTTTTAGCTTTTTCTTCTCATTTAAATTATATATATATATCCCATAGTAAAAATAAACAACATGCAAACAAAAATCTTATATTGCATCCACAATTCTAGCACATTGGCCTGGTCCGTGGAAAATCTTAATTTCAGAAAATTAGAGATGACACGTTGGTATTTGGAATGTGCCTGGTGTGTGATCCCTGTCACAATTGGCTGGTCTGCTGCATAAAAGTCCATTCTTTCTCCACCCCAGGCTTTAGCTGCTTTGAATTTTGTAATTGAAGAATTAATAGAGTCACTAATCAAGTAATTAATCAGTAGTTACAGTAATAGCCTGCCCCTTCTTAAGTGAAGAGCTTTCTTTTGCTGATTAGGTTCTGTATTGTATGCACTGTACAGATGGAGAAAATATTGCAATCCAGCAACACAATGCAGAAGAGTCAACTGCCAGGCTAATAGCACACACTTTTTTATTTATGTGGTTGCCATTGTGCTGTGTCTGTGTTTCTCAGCTCACTGCAAATGTATTTAATTTAAATGCTGAACAGAGCATTATAGCATAGGTAGCCTCGATGATGTGTAATCTTATGTTCATCCAAACTGATTGTAACAAAAGGTTTGTTGTCCTCTTTTGGTATTAATATCAAGGAAAAACTTTGAGAGAAATATTTATCAGTTAACAGTTGCAAATTAACACTTTTATTACAAATCCTATCCTTATTATAAATGATAAATCATGCAAATTATGCCATTTTTAATTTATTAAACAACAGATGATGAATTAATTTGACTGAATGAAAACATTGTTAGTCTTGTTTAAAGCTGTTGCTTAGTTCCTGTCATCAAACATACTCAAAGAAATAAGTTATCTCTCTTTTTGAGGTGATGGGATCAATGTACTTAAAGATAAAAATGTACTAATATTTTTTGTACTCCAGTGCACATTTTCATATTGTCTGTAACAACAACACACTCCAAACTAGATCAGTGCTTTCACGTGATGATGTGACAAACATACACAAATGTATTGGAAAATGTGTTGGGGAAAAAAAATCACAAACTGGAAAAAGAAAATCTATTCCTTTCATATAAATAAATCTTAATGTTATTTAAACTGAGTTTTCAATTAAAACTTACAGTTGTAAAAAAAACATATTGTTAAAGCTACATGAGTTATATTTAAACGTTATTTCATTTATAACTGAAAACTACTCTTTTGCCCATATCCAGATAAATTTCTGAAAACATTATTAATATTTTCCTAGCTATATTTATCATAATTTCTTTGTGGTTTATTGTAGGTCAAACTAAATGTCTGGAAAGAGTTTTTTTTTTTTTTTAGATCTACCTACCATCTAGCTATATGCAGCATAAATATGTTTTTAAGAGGTAAAAAAAGACACTGAATCATTTCAATAAACCTCTATCTTTAAGTCATTCTCAATTAATTAAGACAGTCTAACTCCACAAAGGAGATCTTAAATGACAGATTTTTGTTAACGTTACTTTTTTTCTGGACTGATTCAAAGTCTGAAATAAAAATATTCATCAATCATGTTTTTATTAGCTACTTGAACATTTAAGCTGCATGCAAGCCTTTAAAGAAGTTTGAGTTGTCATTTAATGTCTCAGCTCAGTTAAAGGAGGAGTGTGTTTCATGTTTTCTAATTTTTTTGTGTAATATTTTTGTCTCTGTCTTTATATTTCTATTTTGGAATTCAGTAAATAAATGGCAATTTTGTTTTATATGGGGGACAGGATTTGGTTTGCAATGATGATGTGACCTGCCATCCATGTCACAGTTTGTGTGTGTGTGTGCTTGTTGTTTCTAAAAATGATGCAACAAATTCAGAGAACAAAACTCTCAAATCTGATCATTGAGGAGTTTTAGCTTGTTATGTATTTTTTTCTTTCCAGCATAAAATATCTCATTATTCTAATTGGAACAAAAATGCATTTTACTGAGCGATGCAACCACTAAGCTATTGTCTTTTCTGTCTTTCCTTTCATTTACAGTGGGCCCAAATCCTCTTTCAAAATAGTGGAAGACCAGTCAATGAATTATGAATGTTCAACAAGATGACCTCTTCTCAGCAGCAGCAGATGATGCGAGGTCCTAGGTGGAACCGGGCCTTGTCTGACCCTTTATTTGTGCTGCTCCTGGCCCTCCAGCTGCTGGTTGTGGCAGGACTGGTGCGTGCTCAGACATGTCCCTCTGTCTGCTCCTGTAGCAACCAGTTCAGCAAAGTCATTTGTACCCGAAGAGGCCTGCGAGATGTCCCTGATGGCATCTCTACCAACACACGCTACCTGAACCTGCAAGAAAACTTTATTCAGGTCATCAAGGTGGACAGCTTCAAGCACCTAAGACATTTGGAGATCCTGCAGCTAAGCAAAAACCACATACGGAAAATTGAGCTTGGGGCCTTCAATGGACTGGCCAGCCTCAACACTTTGGAGCTTTTTGATAACCGCCTCACCACCATACCAAATGGGGCATTTGAGTATCTATCGAAACTAAAGGAGCTTTGGCTTAGAAATAACCCAATAGAGAGCATTCCCTCCTATGCTTTCAACAGAGTTCCTTCATTACGAAGGTTGGACCTTGGAGAGCTCAAACGGCTCTCCTATATTTCAGAGGGAGCCTTTGAGGGGCTCAGCAATCTACGTTACCTAAATTTGGGAATGTGCAATCTGAAGGAAATTCCCAATCTTATTCCTTTGGTAAAACTAGATGAACTTGAGATGTCTGGAAATCAGCTAACTGTTATCCGACCTGGTTCATTTAAAGGGCTTATCCACCTGCAAAAGCTTTGGATGATGCATGCTCAGATCCAGACCATAGAAAGAAACTCCTTTGATGACCTGCAATCTCTTGTGGAGCTTAATCTAGCCCACAATAATCTTACCCTTTTGCCCCATGATCTCTTCACTCCTTTACATCACTTGGAGAGAGTGCACTTGCACCACAACCCATGGAATTGCAACTGTGACATCCTCTGGCTGAGCTGGTGGCTTAAGGAGATGGTACCAGCAAACACCAGCTGCTGCGCCCGCTGTAGCTCACCTACCCAACATAAGGGACGATATATCGGCGAGCTGGATCAGAATTACTTTCACTGTTATGCTCCTGTTATTGTGGAGCCTCCCGCAGATCTGAACGTTACAGAGGGAAGTGCTGCAGAGTTGAAATGTAGAGCCAGTTCGCTGACATCAGTAAGCTGGATTACGCCCAATGGTTCCATTATGACACACGGTGCATACAAGGTCAGGATCTCTGTGCTGAACGATGGTACGCTAAACTTCACTAATGTAACCATGCAGGACACAGGAACATATACATGTATGGTCAGCAATTCTGCAGGTAACACAACAGCATCCGCCACACTCAATGTGTCTTCTACAGAGAATAGTAGCTTCAGCTACTTCACCACCGTGACAGTGGAGACGATAGAGACACCGCATAATGAAGGCTTCAGTACTATTGTTCAACAGAAGGTGGGTCCAACACCCTCTGCCGGTACATGGGAGTCTCTGTCACCCACCTCTACAACAACCACAACAATCAGAACTCCGGTCCCGACCCACACCACTGAGAAGACCTATACCATCCCCGTCACGGAGGGTTCCCTGAACGGATTGGATGAGGTAATGAAGACGACCAAGATTATCATCGGCTGCTTTGTTGCAATCACGCTCATGGCAGCTGTCATGCTGATCATTTTCTACAAGATGCGCAAACAACACCACCAGCAGAACCACCATGCACCCACACGTACCATTGAGATTATCAATGTGGATGAGGACTGTGTCACAGGGGGTCCAGGCATGGAGGGCCACCTGACCCTGCCGCCTATTGAGCATGAGCACCTCAACCACTACAACACCTACAAAACTGCGTATAACCATGCCTCCACCATCAATTCCATACACAGCTCAGCACACGAACCTTTGTTAGTCCGGGCAAGCTCAAAAGACAATGTACAAGAGACCCAAATCTAGAACTTTTCTGGGACGTTATAAAGCTGGTGGAATTACTTAGTGGCATTTCTGACAGGACAGTACTTACAATTAGTCACTGAGACTGCAGCTCTGACATGGAGGAACAGACTCATGTTTGGCAAATCCCTGGCTGGTGATGTTCATTCAATGACTTTGGGAGATAGAGTATGTCTACTGTTTCAAAAAGTGTCTTTACAAAAACAAAGTTATTTATTTAAGAAAAATATTGTGGCTGAATAAGAAAAATAATTCTGCAATTATTTTTTCATCAATTATTCATGTTTTTTTTTATTTTCTTTCTCATGTGACAAGTGTGGTTTACTAATATGCTTTCAAGCTTTTTTTTTTCCAGAAGACAGCTGTTGAAGAAAGAGCAAATTATCTTTCCTTTTTGGGTCTTCTTTTGGTGTAACTACAGATCTTGGATCAGATGAATGACCTCATTTTCCCTATGTATCAAAGAAATATAGAACACATTAGGGGTTTTCTCCAGCTGCACAGAAAGTGATGAAATCTTTTGTGACCATCTGGAATTTAGATGGATTAGACTCTTCTACATTATTTTGCACTGAAGACAAAACTGGTGACAAAAAGAAAGTGTCAGGAATGAAATCTGATCATAATTCACTGTTTCATTATTATTGCCACATGCATTAAGCACTCTCTGCTATATCATTGATAGACTGATGATCTTTCTTTACAAAAAAGGAATATATCCAGCTTTTGACTTCTGCTGAAGTGGAGTCACAGTACCACCACTGATTTCTTTCCTTTTTTTTTTCTTACAACCTATTGGTATCTGTGTCTTTCTGTTCCAAATGTAAATGCCTGATATACTTTTATCCTTATTCATAAATTTGCTTTGATAAAAGGCCCCTGGCCTTTCAGAGTTCTCAATATGATCTTAATGGAAATGGTTTAAACATTTTCTTTAAGATGTGTTGAGGAATTACTGAGATTCTGAAAGTCAAGGCTGTATTAATGAGTGATTGTTGTAATGGTGAAGGCTGGGGAAAATGTGTGTCTAAATGTGAATGTTGATAAGGCCTCCTTCCTCTAAAAAATTGAAACGTATCCTTACCCCACATTTACCTTATCGATGCCATATAAGGTTACAGATGAAGATGATTGGTTAGGAGCCACATTTTTTTGAAAAGCTGGAGCCCATTACCTTTCAGCAGTTCTCCTGGAGTGCTGTGAAGAAAGAGCTTAAACCCATTATACAGCTGTCTGAGCACATTGCCTGTCATCTGTGTGCCATATTTCCACATGGGGATGCCTGGCAGCCCCAGATCCATACACTGCCCCTGCCAAGCATAGGACTTGGCCCTGAGTGGCAAGGCTTATGCTACAAGAGGCTTTACAGTCAGACTAAATGTGTGGGATCAGGCATCAACCAGATGTTTGAGCTGCACCTGCCTCTCTCCAGCTCCCTTAGCGACAACACAATTTACATTTTAATTGATGCGCCCATGGGCTTTGGATGGACAGAGCTCTGCAGGCGTCCATCTCCAGAGAGCCATTTCAGAGTAGCCACTGTGAAAGATAGTGCCAGGCTACATAAATGCAGTAGTTAGGCAGATATTTGGCAGATGGTCCCAGGTTTATTTTTAGCAAACAAGTGCCATTTATGTTCAATTGTAAAATATTTAACAATGCCAGGCCACTGTCATAATTCACTTGGTTCTGCTTTTTTTTTTTTTTTTGCAATTTTTAAATAAAAGAGTTTTTTTTTTTTTTTTTTACATGTCGCTGCAGTGTTGAGAGATCTAAATATATTTTACCTGTAAGCATCAATAGTGATGCCTCCATTTTGGCTACGACTTCGGATTTTAACTGGTTACAGTGGATTAAAAGCTTAAAAGTGGCAACATTACTAGGTTGGTCTACTGCTCTCCCATTGGCAAATAAATTAAATTAATTACGTCCACCCACTGCGTGGTCATAAGTACAAAAGACTAAGATCCAACGATCGTCTCCAACTCATTATAGATAGATTGTAATCCAAAAACAAACAGACTGCACCCAAGCTAAAGTACATCAAGTATAAAGAATTAATTTCTGATGCCACAAACTGATAAGACTATAATGTTAAATTAAAAGATAAGATATTGTTAATCATAAGGCTCACATGCACAGATCCAGGTTTACATGTGATATGTAATCCTCATTTATTATCATAGAGAGCACCTACTGATAATATTGTGTTTTGTTTGGGTTTTTTTTGTTTTTGTTTTTCAAAAAGAGCAGATGATAATTAATTTTTCAAACATTTCTTCCTCCAACAGATAAATATTTATAGAAGCTTCAAAATAAATCACTGATAGGATCTTTTGTTCCATTTGAGATTCAAACAAACTTGGCTATTTCCTATTCACTGTACAGTATGTCTTTTAAAGGTCAATATTGCTGATTAGTTCTGTGCATTTCAGTGAATCATCAATTGGAGCATATAAATGTGAACATTTCATGCACAACACAAATTCCAAGAGTCCTCCTTTAAACGAGGTACATTGTGAATAAGAGCTGGACTGAATCACATAATGGGTAAAAACAAATCAAACTTTTCTATTTCTTAAAAGATAGGTCGGCCTTTGTGTCATTCTTATGTGCTTAAGTTGTGGTGGGTTGTGGATCATTTTGCTCTAATTTATGTTAAAAACTGTAACCAATGTTTTGTTCTCACTTTCAGTTGTAGGTAAGTTGTCTGAAAATTTTAAATGGTAAATTTTTTACATTTCAGTCAAACTGTCTCATGTATGTAAGATATCTAAATATTTTGGTCAGTACCCAACCACCCCCTACTCCACCCGCACACACATTTTTGTTTGTTTGTTTGTTTGTTTTTTTGCTTTTTTTCTGAGGGAATGCTGTTCTAGTGGTAGATTTCTATAAAATCAATTTTGAGAATTAAAAAAAAAAAGAAAAAGACAACTTTTTTAAACTTTGATTTTACTTGTGCCAACAACCTGTTCTAAGAGTGAAAATAGAGAAACACACTGTAACAGAGTAAGAGATTGATTTTCATGTAAGCATTCTTTCATGACCTTTAAAAAATATGGAGTTGATTATAGAAACCAGAGTTTGTAGTTCATACACAAAAATGGTTAAAATAAACTATTGTTGTTTTTCTGTATCGTCTGATTCTTGTTTTCAACTAATGCAACATTATTTCAGCACACAGTGGAAAGAGTCACAACTAATGGATCACATTTTCCTTTATTGCATTATCAGGTATACTTATACTAGAATATTCACATTAGGCATTTTGAACACAGAAATTACTCCCCAATATTATTTTCATGAAGGAATTATATATTCAGAAGAATTTCACTTGTTTTTATAGTTTTATTTATACATCTTTCTATCAGATGACAATCCTAAAAATGCCATCATAATATAATGTTAAGATGCCAAAAGATGTGCACTAGTGCTATTTTTACATCTTCACTATAAAACAAAAATATTCTAGTAAAGAAAAAAGGGTTAATATCATACTGCAGGGGTGTCCGGGATTGATTTTTTCTTTTACATCTCATCATGTGCACAACAAATTAAGAAATTATAGAACTGCACTATAACAATAAAGCAAACATATTAATAAAGTACTTTAAAAAAAATCATTATAGTATTGTAAATATAATAATAATAATAATAATAATAATAATAATAATAATAATAATAAT